TTTGAGTGTTGGGCTGCTCTTGAGCAGAGCCAACAAACACTAATACTTATTTCACTGAATGCTTTGGGAAAAATCAGTACAAGAGAGGGTCAAAGAAGTTCTACATTATTTGAGAGCCTATTATGACAGTAAGATTAAAAGAAATCTGCAACAACTTGCACATTAGCGAAAGCAGTCCCTTGCTGTACCTCAGTATCAAACTTCCTATTCAAGAAATACCCTGAGGATGGCAAGTGTTCCCATTAGAATGCATGGTAACATGAAGAACGGATAAGTCTGCATATTTAAACAAACACACGGAACTGAAATTGACCACTTTTAATGCCAGGTTAGAAGGGTTCTTTCAGTTATTCCTTAAATACTGCTACAAGTGTTATTCATTCTTCTGATAGAATTGAAACTCATACAAAAACTCATACAAAGAGCGCTAGTTTGAAAGAAGCAACACCCTCAATCTTCCATCACTAGAAGCTGGATGAGTCAGCACAATTTATGGTTTATTACTGCAACGTATCACACAATGGAGGTCTTTTTTTTCAGCTGGGATTTACTGGTGCTATCACAAAATATCTAATAAAAGCACTGACATTCACTGTCCAGAATTTTCAGAACTCTAGCAAATACGAGAGGCAATTCTGAAACATCTTAGCGGAATCTCTGCAGATAGCTTGTACAAGCTGCCTTTTGAAGGTCAGTCTGCTTAATATAATCTGCATTGGGAAAACTAAAATTGCTAGCCACTTTTGAAAAACCTGACCACCTTATTTGTGCAAGATCAGCGTGTATGGGGAGGAAGAGCATCAAAAGGGCAGTCAGGTCACCTTCTGCTCTGTACAGCACTGCAATACACGTGGCTATACTGACCACAGAGCTAACTGGAGCCACTGGGGATGGAGGAAGCAGGGAGGGAGAAGAGGAGGCATAGGTTAACCAGAATTCTGCCATTTTCCACTGCTTAGCTTTTATCAAAGTTTCCTGATTATCTTACTTGTAGTTCACAAGACACATAAATGAGTAATAAGTCATGCATTACAACCAAGAAATATCACTTCTTGTCTTACAAACAAGAGATTTGTGCCCTGCAGTTAAAATGGGAGTGGAAAATGTCCACAGGGATCAAATGGACCAGATGTGTGAAATGCAGGAGTCACAGGGAAGAGCAGGCATTTCAGAATGTATTTCATGTTACTGCTGGCACCCTGGCCACAGCCATTTCAACACTTGCATCATGAGGATGGACGCAAGAGGCGCTGAAGTGACTACCCAGACAGAAACAAGGAAGCCTGCTATTATTAGCTCTGCTAGATCTTGAGAATCTGTGAAATCATCAGCTGTCACATGAAGAAGTTACCACCCCTCAGCTGTACTCTTGTTAGAACAAGTTACTCCTCTCCTTTAATTCACATTTGTGGTTTGTCAAAAGCACACATACAGTATCACAAAACGGTTGAAGCTGAAAGGGATCTATGGAGACAATCTAGTCCAAACCCCAGGCCAAGCAGGGTCACCCAGAACACACTGCCCAGGATTGCGTCCAGATGGCTTTTGAATCTCCAAGGAAGAAAATTCCACAACCTCACTGGGCAACCTGTTCCAGTGCTCTGTCACCCTCCCAGGAAAGAAATTTTTCCTCATGTTCAGACAGGACTTCCTGTGTTCCAGTTTGTGCCTGCTGCCTCTCATCCTATTGCTGGGCACCAGCACCACAGAAAAGAGACTGGCCCCATCCTCCTGACACCCTTCCTTTCAGATACTTATCCACACTGATGAGATCCCCCCTCAGTCTTCTCTTCTCCCAGGCTAAACAGGCCCAGCTCTCGCAGCCTTTCTTCATAGGAAGAGATGCTCCAGTCCCTTCATCATCTTCGGAGCCCTCTGCTGGGCTCTCTCCAGGAGTGCCATGTCTCTCTTGTCCTGGGGAGCCCAGAACCGGACACAGTACTCCAGGGGAGGCCTCACCAGGGCTGAGGAGAGGGGCAGGATCACCTCCCTCCACCTGCTGGCAACACTCTGCCTAATGCACCCCAGGATCCCATTGGCCTTCTTGGCCACAAGGGCACGTTGCTGCCTCATGCTTAACTTGTTGTCCACCAGCACTCCCAGGTCCTTCTCTGCAGAGCTACTTTCCAGCAGGTCAACCCCCAGCCTGTCCTGGTGCAGGGGGTTCTTCCTCCCTGGGTGCAGGACCCTGCACTTGCCTTTGTGGAACTTCGGGAGGTTCCTCTCTGCCCACCTCTCCAGCCTGTCCAAGTCCCTTTGAATGGCAGCACAGCCTTCTGGTGTGTCAGCCACTCCTCCCAGCTTAGTATCATCAGCAAACTTGCTGAGGGTGCACTCTATCCCTTCATTCAGGTCATTGATGAATATGTTGAACAAGATGGGACCCAGTATTGACCCCTGAGGGCCCTGCTAGCTACAGGCCTCCAAGTAGACTTTGTGCCACTGATCACAACCTTCTGAGCTCTGCCATTCATCCAGTTCTCAATCCCCCTCACTGTCCAGTCATCTAGCCTGCAGTAAACTTCAGCAGGTCATCTAACGAGCTGTAATTTGTTCCAGGGTCCACAGACATTTCAAAGCCCATTCCACTTCTACTTTTATCTTGTCACTCCACTATACAGAAAGCATTAAGAATTCCATGAAACAGTTGTTAGATAAAAAAAAAAGAGCAGACATTCACAAGAGCAGAACTGAGATCAATGTGTTTGGTTCCCTTTCTGCTCAGGAACCAGCTAGAAGTATGCAAAGGTCAGTCCATGACTTCATGCATCAAACTCCACTTATCATCATTGACCTCAATTAATGCCAACCTGCATGTCTCCATTGAGAATCTGGTAAACTTCTTTGGAGTCGATGAAATTTTGATAGACTTGACGCTGCTCATCTGTCAAACGACAAAACAGGACCTACCAAAAAAACAAAAACATCCCAAACTCAGGCTGCAAACTCCAGATTTACCAAGTTTTAAACTTTCATAAGATGGAATATGCTACAACGAAATTTCACAGACAGGTATGACATACTGAAATACTAAATTAAAAGTTGTAACACAGAGATCACTACAGGAAAAAAAAAAGTTAGAATATTTAGAGAATACACAGAATCATTAAGATGCGTTTCAGCATCATTTCTATATCCTTTTCCAGTTGCTAATTTTTCCCTCAGATTGCTTGGATTTTGGATGTGCTGCCATTTTCCAGTTTCAATTAAGTAACTGTGCAGTGTTAGCATTCTCTCAAAGCTACGTTAGTAGAACACCCTTTTCTGTGCGTCTGCTATGTCCCTTACAACTTGCAAATTCTCTTCGTACCTCACGGGAAAAGAATAGTTCAGCACATATAATCTGTTCTGTCATTAGCCTTTGAGCGTGAGCAGATAATGATTTTTCAGGCAGTCTGATGGGCTAAAATAGAACAAAATCATTTTCTCACATCCTGCGAGACACCCAACATTATATGAGTTTGACTTATGACATAGAGCCCTGTGATTGACAAGAAGAAAAATCAAATTCTTTTAGTCCACTTATGAGAGCATGCTTTAGAGTAAGTAGCCCAGATTCTTTGAAGTATACTGAAATGAGAATCTGATTAAAAAAAGCACATGAGACTTGCAGAGCAGAAACAGATAATCTATTCTATTTATTTACTGTCTACCTTCAGCCCTTTCTCATGAAGAATCACAAACACGTCTACTCTTTTAGAGGGAGGGCGAAAGAAGGAAAAGAATCAGGACAGGACAAGAAAGCCTGAAGTGCCTGAGAGGAAGAAATATCTAACTCTTATTACAAGTGAGTATTTGTAGGAGTTTCTATTCAAATCATTCTCTTTTAAATCATTCTCTCCCACTCCTCTAATTTGAGTCAAAATATTTCCTAAAAACATCTAAACTCTTTGTAGACCAAATAATAAATTTCAGATCAAATGACTAACATTTTGGAAACTTATTACAATATGCAGGCCCGGGTAGCTTGCAATATGAACTACTGCCATCAAGTTTTTTTTTGTTTTTTGTTTTTTTTTACTATTTGCTGCCCAAGGTAACCTTTTATCAGCAGAAAACAATGCTGAAGTGTCCAACAAGAGATGCACCATAAGAAACACCTCACAGACAGCTCACTTCCATGCATTTATGGCCTATGAGGGTAGCACTAAGGAGTACAGTCAAAATCATAAAACAGACCTGACTGCACTTGAATTATATCCTTCATTTTTAGATGGAAACACAGTCGTATAGGCCCTGCAGGACTAAAGCCACTGCATGCTCATGAAACAGGTGAAAAGAGTAAGCTACTTGGAAGCTCTCAATTTTATCTTTTGTTAAACAACATTTGATCTGCTAACAGTCTGCTAAAGTCCATGAAAGAGGATGGTTTGGGGAAGAAGAGGGCTCAAATCTAATAGTAAAGATAAGCAAACCTGTTCATTTTTATCAGGAAGCGAAAGGGTCATTTTTACATCAGCTTTCATTCTTCGCAGCAAATAGGGGTTTATGGTGTCTCGTAACACACATGCGCATTTGTACGCAGTTTTTACCTGAAGAAGGAAGAAAAGGCCCAAAATTGTATTTTGGTTCTTCCTATCAATTTTAGCAACAGACAAAATTCACTGATTAGTAATAGGAAAATCCTCATAAAATGAGATACTGCAAAACATTTATGATTTGTGCTGATAATTAATTGTTCAACACAACATAAATTATAACAAGTCATGTTAGCAACAACAACACTGAATAAATAGTCTCCCTCAGATACTACTAATTTATCTTTCCTAATTTAGTGGAATTTATTAAAAGTGAACAGAAAGGAGAGATTTTTTTGGCTAGCAGGAGCTGATTACCCCTTTTATGAACCAACCTATGAGTATAAACATTCATGGAATCAAAATTCACACAGAAAGAATACCAATACAAAGATCAAAAAAGAAGCCCAGAGCAATTGTGGTTACTAGACAGTAAGTGAAGATTAGTGCCTCTTGAGGGGAAAAAAGAAAAAAAAAAAAGCACATCAGTACAAGAAAATCCCTATGATCACAGAACCGAAAGGTCACTCTGGCCTTAAATGGAGCATATGGTTCTATAACGGTTAATGGATGTGTGAGATGGGTATTAACTGTACATAATGGCTAAAAATACCTTCATTTCTCTTAACGCAAAACAAAGAATACAATAAATTATTGATAAGTAAAAACCAAATAGGCTATCCAATTTAGCAAATTACTAAGTCTTAGACAAGGAAAGCACTTAAAGAGAAAATAAAACTTTAGAAATTTATGTGCATAAAACATTACAAAGAATGTTAAAATGGAAAGAACTTTATTAGCATTTATACTGAACTTTTAATCTATACTGACTATCACTATACAGGCGATTTCTCTATCAGCTAACATGATAAATATTTAAGGAGTCTTAAATATTGAGACCCACAGCTACAAAGATGAACATACGTAGTCATTCAAAAGAATATTCTAAATAATTTTTGTTTTTGAAATTAAATAGTTTAAATACTTTTGGGCTTCTAGTAGCTATTTTAGTTTTTTTAATGGAAACAGTTTTCAGTTTGGATTTCAGCATTACTCTATAGCACCTAAAATAATTTGCTAAAGCTTGAAATCAAATAGAAAAGTTCTATTTAATTACTTCAAAATACGAGATCAATCACATTCCCCTACACATGCTTATTTTTACTTCAAATCATATCTCTAATGACTTAAATTTAAGGTCCCTGACAGGCAACACTCGTGTATACGCTAAGCCCTGCACAGAAGAAATGGTCTCATTTAGTCAAACAGTCCTCATCGCATGCATAGAAGGAAACATACATGCTACTATTTTTTGGATCAGTCTCTAGAGCGTACAGTATGTGGTACATATAAAAGTCAATTTTGAAATAACAAAGCAAACAGTTTCCTTCAACCAAAGTATTATTCAACTACTTAAGATATTTTGGATGCATTTACCTGTACAGGAGAGGCATTGGAATATCCTCCCATGGTTATTGGAACAGAAAATTGCTCCATGAACACAGGCAGGGTTCCCAGTTTCCCTGGGAATACAAAGTCAAAGAGGGACCAGAGCTCCTTTAGGTTATTTTGCATTGGGGAGCCAGATAAGATGATGCGATGGGGCGTGCGGAACTATTAATAAAAAAAAATAAAAGATCAATGTCACCACCAAATAATTTTCTAATTTCAAAATACGTAGCCTAATATTTCTGAAATAAACAAGAGCTTTCTGCAGGATATTGTCCATAAACTGTTAGCAGAAGCTGTACTTATTTTGTCCCTAATGCCAAATTACTACACCATATAACATTTCTGTTTTTTTCCTCCATCTTAACTCTGTACATTCAAAGATTATTGTGATCTATGCTTTTGTTCTTTATTAAAAATCAAACTTGCACCTTTAATGATAAAACAATACAAAGCTATTAGGACTTGAACTCCACCCCAATCGCCCCAAAGCTGAAAATCTTCCGTTTGTTTTATGATAAAGTACCTGCTTGCATGCAAGTGTGACTGCAGCATTCGGATTTCGGATTTTGTGACCCTCATCCAAAATCACATAATGCCAGTCGTAGCTGTGGATGTTATCCTGCATCAGTCGAATGTACGAATAGGACGTAACTAAAATTCCATGGCATGAAGCAATTTCACGAATTAGTTTTGCCTAAAACCAAAAGGTGCATATTGTCAGTAGCATATTGAGACAAAAAATAATCTGTCCTAATGAACTACAGGTTTGCTGTCCAAGAGATGTACAAAAAATTTTGAAAAAGCAGATAATTTACTTTGCAAAGAATATAAGTCTAGACAACACTTAGAGCACATGACTTAACTCATCTGTAAAAGAATGAAGCACTCTATATTGTGGTATAACAGATCAGAATTTGATCTAGTCTGGTCAGAAGGAAATGGTATTTCTTTTCCAAAGACCATGTCTGCAGCATACAAATGTGAAATTTGACTGAGGTAACTGGTTACTTCAAGTTCTCCTGTACTTACCTCACAAACCTAGCTTTGCAAACTGCATCAAAGACATAATATAACAGAAGAGGAAAATAAATAAATTGGAAAAAAAAATCCATCCCACCTTAGCAGTAGGGTTAATATACCTGTTACTAATCATCAAACTGTTTGCTTCTCTTGTAAGAAGCAAGAGAAGTAAACTTTTCCTTAGTTTTCAGTAGTTTTTTAGGCTGTAAATTATGTGGGGCAAGGACAGTCTCTATCACCTTCCTTAGGTACTTCCACAACATTCACAGTATTATAGAATCTTGTCCTTCCTACATTTATCCTCCACATACAGCCGAGGTAATGAAACACCATTACCTTCTGTTATAGATGAAGGAAAAGAGCACAGAAACTATGGACCAAATCCATCAAGCATTTGGGTGTTTTAACTTGCATGAAAATCAACTGGAGTTAGGTGCTAAAATACCTTTGCCTATCAGGGCATGATTGACTTGGCAGAAGCTCATACAAGAAAGGGAAAACAAAATCAAATTCCTTTTGTTCCCCTCAAATGAGTACCCTAACCAATAAACGATCTTTTCTCTTTTACATTATGTTTACAAAGCAACTAGCAAAATAGGACTCTGTCTTCAGCTGCTGCTGCTGTTATACAAAGCCCATCAATCCACTGACTTTGTGTGAAAAGTATACTTACATCAATAACTACCAATTCCAAACTTTTTCTTAAACTACTCTCAGAATAGTCAAACTGCAGTCAGAGGTATTCCCTCCGTACAGTCAGAGGATGTCAGTGTTACCTCAAAATCTCTGGGACCTTAAGCCCATCATATATTTACAGTTTCATAAACTTCACGGTTGTTTATGTATGAATTCACCATTAGAATGCATTAACAATTACTCAGTAATTTTCAAGAGCTGCATGTATTAGTTTCTGACATAGGACCCGATCCTACACTGGCAAAATGAATGGTAGTTTTACCATTGATTTAGGGGATGCCGTATTAGCATGCTGGGGCAAAAACGGAAAAGGCAGCTTTGAGTTATATAAACACCTGATGTTTTTAAAAAAAAAAATTACAGATTTTGCCAAAGGAAAGACAGAAGTGTAAAACAACAATCACATTTTAAAAAGATTTGCACAGTCTAAAACATCAAGAACACTTATTATTAGAAGTGCCTTTAAAAAAAAAGGGGGGAGGGGAATCACACCGATTTCCATCTTGCAATATTTCTTGCTATTACTTCTTTCTCATAAAGACATAGCCCAAAGAATCAAAAAGTTTTTTTGCACTTAGCTGTTCTAGAATTTCTACTCTCCGATTATCATCTCCTGATAAAACCATAGCACATAAAATAAAGATGATGCCAACTTTAAGTTCTCAAAAGGATATACAATCTTTAGAATAATCTCTATTACGGAAGCAGTAGGATTCCTAGACAGATATGAACCTCCAGAGCTTAATTCTACCTGGTACGTTCCCCATAGTCTGCAACTGTGTCCTGGAGTCTCAGCAACGGCCCGTCATAGAATATTGTAGACATCCCCACCCAAACACTTAAGACAAATCATCTCGAGTGATTTCAAATTAAAAGCTTGTGAAATATGTAACCTCTCCTAATTTTTGCAATTAATAGAGTATGTCTGCAATTAGCCTGACTTACAGAATGCTACACTGTTGTCATTAAAAGATGTTCTGTGAAAGTGCTGCTGTTATTATGGAGACTCAAGAGACCAATCCCTCCTAGAGGGCAAACAGTGGACTAGCAGAAAACAACAGCCATAAATCACATTGTCAGGTAGCACAGAGAATAGGAGTGAAACACAGGCACATGAAGGCCATTCACTGTAAACACACCACAGCAGAATCTTAAGTCAGGATTTACTGAACCTGTAATTAATTAAAACTTCCTTCAAGCTAAATCTTTAATAAACAAAGATTTGTGCTGACAATGAAGAAATATAACACAATTTTAACGACTCGCTCTGTAAGGTTTATTAACGTTCATTTTACTGTATTGGGTACATTCTCACATTAGAGGTTACATTAGCTTTAGTTGTTGCAGCCTTGGAATAACTTTAAATCTTTTAAAATATGGTAATAAATTTAAAGCTAAACTGGATGCACACTGTTTTGATGTTGTGGCATTTCAGAATTTATGCTATTTTATCATTTTTTCTTTAGTTCACTATTCCTATTTGGTTAGTTTCACACATATTTTATTATTATTATTTTTTCCCTCAGGGAATAAACTTCAGTGCAATATTTCAGGGCATCATCTGCTAAACTGAAAACAAAACCCTGAGAATAAATTCAGCTTAACAGACAGATCCTACTAATGTCAAAAAGGTTAAACAGCAGTTGGCTAGCTTTGAAATTCTGAACTCTGATCTTTAAAGAGATGCCAATGAATAAAGGAACATGTAAGCAGAATAATTTTAATCTTGTGGTTTGGTTCAACAGAGTATGTCAGGCTTTTACAATTTCAAGAACAGAGTTCTCTCCTAACATTAGGAGAAATAAGTTGATTGGGTTGCATTGCCTTTCATGGTACACAGATGCACTGCGCAAAGTTGAGAAGATTTTTGACAAGTAACATTTCTTAAGGCTAAATGATTCATCAAAAGAATACGCCTTTAAGCTAATGTTTTCTTCCTGCTGAGTACCTAACTGTTGCTAGTTTTTCTTCTTTTGAAGCTACATACAGTTATTTTGAATGAAACCTGCAGAAATACGGTTTAATATATTCTTTTAGCAGCTGAAGTATCTTTTTTAAGAGAACTTGAACTCTTCTATAATACTATTAAAAATGGTAATATTCTTAAACAGAAACGTGTACATGAGTGAATGTCAAGAAATACACTAGTGATAACTATGATATTCTCTAAACATCAGATATCTATTTATAAAGCAAGTCTGAATCCTCCAAGATATCGGGTTATTTACACAACCATGTATCACTTGTCAATCAAAAATGCATTCTTCAGCAGTCTTTTCACTCTCTCATCAACAACCATTAAGCCCAGAGAGCCATAAATTCAATTTATAAAACCTCTTTACTATTTCCCCACCCCCAACAAAACAATTTAAATTGCACCATGAAGAGGCTTCAAAAGAACACATCACAATGTTTAATAATGTAAAAGTTGCAATAAATATATAGTAAGCGCTCTAACTCTTTTTAACAGGAATGTTATTTGTTGTGGCATGATACTAAGTTTGTCGGAGTTAGGTCCTTAAGACAGAAATACAGTCTTTGGCTAAAATACAGGTTCTATGTCCAGTTATACCAATCACGGTAACGTCTGTAGTTATTTTCTTTACACGTAGATTATGTACTCTACTGTGGGTCAGAAGGCTTTACTTCCTACCAAGTAGTGTGCGAAGTAATTCTTAAATAGATGGTGTTACAGATGCAACTCTCATGAAGCAACAGTCGCTTTTGAAGGCTGTATTTTGCATCCAGCATTTGACCAGAACAAAGGAATGTAAAGTTATGGCTTTGCAGATTGTATCTAATCACCACCAGAGAGAAGCATTAAGTTCAGTGACAGCTGTTCTGAAGATCAAGAAATTAAAAGTTCAGCAGTGACCTTAAAGATACAGCCTCCCTCCATATTTTGGATGTTGAACCCAGGTAACCAACATGCATGTTGCCTCCTAGATTCTATGGTTTATAAGCCCTCATGCGGAGTCAAAAATTTCAAAGCAACAAGACAAGTTGTTTGTACAGACAGTTTCTCTTCCCCCCACCCCCCCACTTGGAAGGCTTTTTCTCCATATCTGAGGTTCTATATCATAAATAAAACATCACTTATGGTATGCTATATTGGATTTAGTACTTTATTCTCTCTCATCCTTAGGGATCTCAGAGCACTTTGTAGTCACAAGTCTCTTTAAGCTAGATAAAAGTTTGTAACGTTCAACAGCACCACAGGGCACATTTAGCTACAAATGCTGCACCTTGTTCAAACTGAAAGCTGACTTCATGGAGGAGGACTACTACTTAAATCTGATTGTTCCTACTACTTCCAGCTTAAGGACATTTTTCATAAGAGAACCAAATGATCTTCTCTAACCACAAACTGGAAAAAAAAAAAGTTTGATATTTTATGCAGAGGGTCTCAGAACTAGCTCCAAACTCTTGGAAACCTATCCAACTTGCTATTTTATTTTCCTTCCATCACCTAAAATACCAACCTGTCTTCCCTTGCGGAAAGCTGGAGACCTTTAACCTATTAATCATACTTTAAGGGCTGAAACTGGAACTTAATACCTATCTCCTATACTACCAAACTGTCTACCACTGTTACTTCAGCAAAGGAATGAAGTAGTCTGTCTTCTGAAGCATCACATATGCTAAAAACCTAGACTAATACTATAGCAGCAGAGGTATTATCTAAACAGGATGCTTCAATGACTCATCTGAAGCACGAGGACCAAACCGGTGGCCAATTTCATGCTCATACTTCAGGGTGTTGTTTCATACTATTACTGTGGAAAACCCTAAAGCTGTTTGCAAAGAAAACCAAAATGGACTGGGAGAAGCAGGATATACTGAGGGAATTCTGGCCCAGCCTTTCATTTACCACACTGCTCAGAAGTCCTGTAGTGACATTAAAGAAATGGTTGGTGCTAGCTGATTCACATTAAAGAAATAACTTAGCTTCCACTGTGAATCACCAATCCAGAAAGGGATGTCTACCTCAACAACGGAACATGAAGGGAGGACACAGTCTCACACAAATTAGTATTAAGACTATATTTTTGCTTTTCTACTGTAGACTTGAGGCAGTACGAGGGATTCAAAGCTGTACATTTAATTGACGTAAAAGTAATTTAGTGTTCTTGAATGTTACCTGTAACTGCTCTTCTCTTATTTGAGCAAAGCTACAGAAACTGTTTTTTAAAACTTAGCCTTGAGTGTCACTGGTGTATAGTGCTTTTTCCATAAACATTTCTTCCATTTCAAAACCCTTCTCAGCCCACAGTTGCTCTGTGAATCCAGTCTGTATTTAAGTCACACATGAAATAATATAGGTGCAGTTTAGTTTTTCCTGTCTGAAAGCTGAGAGTTATTCAAAATTCTTCTGAGAAACAATTTAGGGTCAAATTTAGTAAGAAAAACAAATTCAGCGCTCTTCAAACAGGCAAAACTATTTATCAATAACAGACTGATAACTGAATAATGCACTGCAGGGACTTGTAATTGATACAGAGCCATATTCATGAGCGAGTAAAACAAATCTGGTTACATGCGAAGACAGAGTGCTCCATTGCAAATGAGAATGCAGACAACTGGCACTGCATGTAAAATTGAGTAATTTTATGCCTAATTTCCACTAGCAAGTATCTGTACTCCGATATTTGGTTCTCACCTTTGAAACTCAGATAACCAAGCAAGCAATAATACCAATAAATGGACAGCAGTTTAGAGCAGCACATGAAACGTTTTCTGAAGATGTCATGCCAGAGTGCTATTCCTTTACCAGTTCTGACAAAAGAATGCTGGTAGGAATAAAACCAGGAACAAGAATGTTTTTAAAACATAGGTGTCAGAATCAAAACACCCTGCTCTGTTCTTCCACATTTATTTTGTAAGCTAGAAGCTCAAGCTCAGTGTCACTAACTAAAATGAAGCGTAAGGCTTTGGTCAGTATTAATTTATGAGAAAACATGTAGTTCAGAAGATACATATTCTCCACTTTTCTCTGTGAAGGAATACGTTTACGGACAAGTCCAAAGAACTGAGAGGTAGGATTAATCATGTTAATTTAATCACTGACACTTGGGCCTTAGAAGAATTGCACCTTGGAAGGTGTAACTTGTAAAACACAAAATATCTACCCATAAAGAATATAATTTTACCACTGTGATGGTACTGAAAGATTTATTATTTGCAGATATTTCAGGATTCCTGACAATGAGGCAATAATAAGTACTTAGAAACATCTCGCATAAGAGAGAAACCTAAATTTTATCAACTGGAACTCCAGTTGCTGCCCCTTGCTGCTGTGAAATAATGTCTGCCCAACAGGACATCTGTTATTACTCAACTGTTCTTTCTCCATAGATCTCTTTCGTTAGTTTTAAGATTAACCCTTTTCTCCATAAATCTCTTGTGCCAGTTTTAAGATTAACCCTTTTTTTCGCTTAGAAATCATTTGTCCCTCATTCATAGGTCTGTACAGATCAAGTTACCCTACTGTGTTTTGACCATGAACACTCTGCTGTCCAGCAAGTACAGAATAAAACTTTCCTAAAAACCCATTAAGACCTTCACTCTTCAACATCTAGTTAATTTAAGTAACAATTACGTTCTTCTACCGATCCAGACCACTCTAATCTCTGCTAGCCCAGAGGCTGTTGTGACCTTTCTCACTCCAAAACAGTGAACAACATTAAGTTTCCAGATCCTTTTTGCTGTCAAGTTAGCTGTCAAGCACAAAACTCTTCTCATTTACACGATAACAAACCACAATACGCTAACAGAGTAACAGGCCAATCCTGAAATTGCCAGTTTAATTCCAAATAAGTCTGTGCCATATTGAGACAACAGGTGCACAGTGCCTTGGCTACTGGCCACATACAATTAATCTCTACTAAAGAGTAAATATATGTTCTTATGCAATCTATTGACAATTCTCTTATTTATTTCTTAAACTTATTGTCAGCCAGAGCATAAAGCCAGCGTGGCCTCTGGATGAGTATGATACTATTTGAACAGATACAAAGCAGTCTCCTCTAATGTCACGGATAATCAGAAGATGGAACCATCATAACAAGATTAGATCAGCACTAACATATTCATAAAAAGAGTGGAGGTTGAAAAGGAATTCTAGGTAAGAATAAAATTTGAAGTGACAAAATTTCTGTGTAAAAGTGGTATTTATGCTAGTAAATTAGTATCAAATTCCTTTCTTCCAAGTATATGGACATCTAGAATGACAAAGTATTTTTTAAATTTTTACATTTTTTTTTAAAACTGCTCTTTTTTATTTAAAAGGTAACTTGGGAAAAACACGCATGAGTTGAAGACCACATCAATAGCGACACTTTCGCTTAAAGCATCCTCTTTCAGCTATCAAAAGATGAAAAACAAGGGCAACACTGGAGAACTGAACCTATTTAAAGTGATCAACTGGTCAACTGGTATCCAACTTCTTTAAGCTGTTGAGAACAGGCTTGTGGGATGACAATGGGAAGATGAAGACCTGAAAACTTGACTATTCCTCTATTCCTGTATATGGAAATATTTGAGCTAGTCTGAGAAGTTCATTAACAAATACCCCAAAATAAGCATACATGATTTAATTTAGGAAGACACGCAAGCATGTTATTGAGGTCAATAGACTTTTAGGGCTTGAAGATATACCAAGTTAATTGAACAACAGGAAGCTATTAGCACATTAGAGTGTTCTATTCTTTTTTTGCCATGTACTGTAACTGTATTGATTATCTCACAATACATTTAATCAAGTGCAATTAAGCACCATACCATTGTAACATTATTACAAGAAACTCGATAAATATTTAAAGAGAAATTTAAAAATGATTTGGTGAATCCTGCAAATCTTTTTAAGCAACTGAAATACAAGGCCAAGGGAAAAAAGAAAAATCTAAGTTTTCCTTGCTGTGCTATTTCAAGCTAGCAGGGATTGAAGTTTCACAGAAGTCAGGGTTATCAATTTAAGAAAAGGAACAAAAACACACATAGCAAGACACTGGTCAAGCAAATAAAAAGGCAGAAAAGACATCACTTGGAGGAAAAAAAACAAAAAACAAAACAAAAAAGCACCCCCCCAAAACATAAAACAAAGACAAAACCAAAAATACTATCTTTAAAGGAAATGAGACTAGGTGACACCAACTGACATACTGATGAGTTGATGAGAACTTAGCACATCCGGGAATATTAAATGAATTAAATAGTAAATCAACGATATTCTGATGCACCAAAATGCAAGGAAAAAATTCACCAGTACTAGAAGTAGGTAGGCCAATAGGTTCTTAGGTTGATCAGTTGCAGCAAAAGCAGCTGACAATGACGCAGATTGTTCCCTAATTGTAAAGTAGGCAGTGGAATGATATGGAACATGCCTTTGAATGACAGCGAGGCGCTTACTGAATAGACTCTTCATGGAAAATTACAGTGAAGCTCTGCAAATTTATCAAAAGTATAGAAGGCTTTCCATATTGAATCCAGAGAATGGAGGATACTCAGCATCCTTCTGCTCTGAATATCTGTTTTGAACTATAGACTGCAGCCTTTTTTTCTTTTTTGCGTAGCATGCATATATGCGTGCTTAAGTTTTCACCGCACTGTAAAAATGACCAGAGGAAACTACATATTCTTAAATATTGACAAGGGCGGCCTTGTGGAAATTGAGACAGAGAAAAAAAGTTCACATTAAATTCAACATGAGGGGTTTTTTTTTCTTTTGGAAAATTTTCCAGTCTCTCTGAGAGCGATCAACCTTCAGACATATCTACCTTCAGCATGAACAATTTCACCAAAAACATTCAAGAAAGTTAACTAGCATTACATGAACACCACCTGAACTCCAAAGTAAAAATATATTCTCATTTTATGTTGGCTAGTGTACATACGTACATAGACTTTTCAAAGAAAAGAACATGTTAACATTAAAATCATTGTACATTTTGTGTTTCCATCATAAACTGAGGTATATTTAGCACTGCAGAGGCACCACAGGGAGCTTTAAATACACTAGATCACGTTCACAAGCAGTCTAGTCATGGTAGAATGGACTTCTGTACAAGCACAGCTCTCTGAATGAGAAATCTGCTACTATGTCTGATTTGTTCAGACAAATCAGAATGTAGACGTTTGTTCAGACTCTCTTCTACGCCACAACATAAGTATACTCCTTGCCATCTTTTTGTGCCGTTTCCTGACAAATTTATACATGCAGTCAATGTTTTATCCTTTTAAAACAATCAGGGAAAGAGCACAAGCGTGCACAGAAACACCTTCAGCAACAGAGGATACTTTTCGTTAGCCAACACACCAAAGAAGAGACAAGCTTTTGGAATATCAATCGTTACCTTTTTGTTGGTGTAAGAACCAGTTTCATGGAGAATGGCGACTCTAAATGGAGGCCACCAAGTATGAAATTCTTTTACCCACTGATGCATCACAGTAGCTGGACATACAATCACTGTTGGACCCAACCCCTGGTACCTAAAACAAAACATTCAAGAACAAAACTTCAATGTGAAATAAATACTCTATATTAAGTGGCCTATTAAAATAACCCAACACACTTAATAGTTCAAGTGGAATATGAGAACCTTGGAAATTGAGTGGTATTTTCTTTTTCTAAAAGTCTATTTTCTCAAAACAAGATGAAAGGAGCACAGCTATAAGAACATATCAAATGAAGAATTAATGTAGGCATCTATCAATATAAGCACATAAATAGAAAAACTTCAAACAATATGGCAAAAGGGAACTTCTTCCTGTGGTTCCTCCTGTGGTAATACAAATCAGGTTTGGGGTGACTGCTGTATCTTTAAGAGAAATGAAATCATTAACAATCATTTTATTACTTCCATTCCTAGAAAATGTGTAGATATAGTCTTGCAAATGGACTTCTTATTACATATGGATGTTTTGTTTTATGTTGGTAATACATTGTACTATTGTCATCTTAATTTGCAGGCAGCAAGATAAGACAGACTCTAAAGCAGCAGAACATATCTGCTGCTTTAGAACATCTCCGTATGTTCCATATCCATAGAAGCTGACATTAGAGCTGGGCTAAAACTTCACCATCTCCCAAGTCTTTTGTTCCTAATCAGATGATTCTCTCTGAGAATTACCGAGGAGATATTAGAAACAAAGCCTTTCTGTATGATACATTTAGTTCAGAACTACTCTTACAATTAAAAAAGAAAAATAAGATCTCTTGTACAATAGCCAAACAAGAAATATTACAGTTGGAAACAAACAGCAACAATTATATAAGAAATATGATCTGCAGGGAAAAATTAAAAGCTTGCTTGTTAACCCTTCAAATATATTCGTGGTTTAAAAATCAGAATAAAGTAAGTTTGTAAACAAAGGCAAGAGCTACAGCTGTCATGTACCAATCTGTGTTTTTACATCATGCAAAATGGTCATAGATAACTGTGTACATTTCAAGCGGCAATACATAAGCAATTCAAAAGATCACACTATACATTCAATACAACAAGCATGCAGCAATAAAAAAAAGTCATGAACAGCAGAAAGACTTCCTGATTTAAAAAAAAAAAAAAACAAAACACCACTAGTAATGCTCTTCAGAAACTGATAATACTTAGAAATAACTTTGTTTATTAAAAGCTTATACAGCCGCAGACAACAACCTGGATGTTGCTTCTCTCTTTCATCATCAAAGAAGTGTTATATAAAAAACTTACATGGCCTAATTAAAGCTGATAAGAACTCCCAGTAATCCAAGGGGAGGTCTGCTTTGTCTTTCCTGATGAAAGGGCCGTTGGTCTGAAAGGTCATTTGCTTCTTCCAACTACCTCCACTTGTTGAACTAAAGACCGTTCTGCCTCCAGCAACCTCAACTTTTCTAATAAATGACCCTTCCTCTCCCTATATCTCTTGTTTCTCTTATATCCTTAGACTATCATAGCTGCAACACTTCTACTGATACCGCATATGACACCTGGCTTTCCCCAGCTATGCGACCATTATTTTAAAGTAGTTCATTAACTGTTAAAAGTGAAGAAATATATTAATACTCCCAGTAACAAAATTGTGCTCTACTTCAGGTAGTCTTCAAGCTGCTTCAAAAACAGAAAAATGCTGGAATTAAAAGTAGGTTACAAGAAAGTTTCTACTCACCTTATTTTGAAGCAAATAATACTTTGCAGAGAATTTCACTGATAAAGTTGTGTATTTTGAATGTTTACAAAAATCTATAGCGGCTCTATTGTCTTAATACCCAAGTGCCTCATTAGTATGATAATAGTCAGAATCTTGCAGAGCAATCAAAGTACCATTAAACTGAGGCGGCAAGAGACTATGGAAAAGGCTGCAGCGCCAGATTCATGCACCAATACACTAGCTACATCTACAAACAAGGTGATAAGATATGAGCTGAGCTGGAGGCATTTAGGCATTTTGACCACAACAACTGTCGCTCTTACCAGTTTCTACCTCTCAGCCAGACTACCAGAAGGTCTTCTGCTAACAAGACTACAGGGCTTTCAGACAGAAACCAGCTAGTGTTAGTGTCTTCTTAGTTCAGAACGCAGATGCAGAAAACGCTCGACCATGCAAGAATTAAGTCATTGATACCTTCTGCCTTATGAAACACAAGCAAAACCAGAATAAAAGAATTTTCCGAGAAAAAAAATTAAAATCTGTTTCTTCCCATGAAGTTACTATCATGGTGGACTTGCTAGTTACCTGAACAAGTCAAAAAACTGAAATAGAACATAGGATCTTATATTCAGAAAGAACCTTGCAACTTATATTTTGGCCTTTTGGAAGTTTTTTTGTAGTTTCACTGCAGTGTCTAAGGTCTTAAGCTGTAACTGTTTAGCAGTGTCTGGAGAGATGTTTCTGAAAGATTTCTATCAACTCAATGGAGCTCCAACAAGAGCAGAGAATATAGCTGCACAGAATAAGCTGTAGAGTAGCATCTCAAATCAGGCAGTTGCGTCAAAGAAATCAACTGGCCTGAGTGATGGAGGACAGAGTAGTAGTTTTGCACATAAAGACTACTGTAGGAACAAAACTGAAGTAGCTGGAGAATAAAATGCTTCCAAAAGACACCAATATTTTCTATTTAAAGCATTATTTTACATTTCATGGCTATAATGAGCATAATTTAAATGCACCTCTTTACAAAGCAAAGTAAAATTTATTTTTCATATACTGCTATTATATTTCCTGAATTGTATGTTGTAATTTACATCAGGAAAACAGGCCAACAGAACCAGAATGCATGCATCTGTAAATCCAACAACACCAAAAAGTATCTTTTTTCATAATTTCATCTATGAAAAAGGAATTCTTACATATTGTTCAGTAACAAAGAAAGAGTATGAAAGATCCTCGGAAGAAAGGTCAGTCATTCTAACAGTTTTCAAAAGCAAGACAAGAAAAAAAGGCAGATAGGAATTCCTCTGTATAAGTTACTGCTCTTACGATTATTATTGGTTTTTTTTGGCTTTCATTGCAAATCAGCTTGCTACTTCCTGTAAAGCATTCACCTGGTGTCTTGCCAGAACAAGTATTTTAATGTAAAATTTAATAAATGGAACTAAAGGTATCATATCTAATTTAAAATTCCATATTGTGTAAACTATTGATATTAATGTAATTGAGTTTGTAAACAATCCATTTGTGGAAGCTAACCTTAGACACTGTATTGACCCAAAATATCTAGTGCGGCTCATCTGCAAAATGAAGCATCAATGCCTGGAATTCATTAAAAGTGTTACATGTTTAATTTTTCCTGCCCTACAGCTCCATTGTCTCGTAAAATTTTTCCTTTGATGTCCCCCACTAAAAGAATTAAAGGAATATTGTAATTGAAATGTCATTAATAATTCACAGGGCCCTCCTCCACCAGCAATACATCTGATGAAATATTAATTGAGCTCCACAGACTGACAGTCTGCAGAGGAGCACTTGCCTGTAATTTGAACCACGAGTCCTGATCTTGCTGTAGCTCAGACCTGCCAAGAAGGCAATTATCTGGATGGTCTTGCCCAATCCCATCTCATCTCCCAGAATTCCTCCTGCCTGCTGGCAGTGCAATTCCCAGAGCCACCTAACACCTGTCTGCTGGTACCTAAAACAAGGAAAGAGAAGAAGGCAAATGTTTGATAATACAGATCATAACAGAAAGTACTCATGAATTAATCATTTGGCAAGGTTCTTATACTAGTTACTGTAACATGCTGGATGTGTGTTTTACATGAGTGCTGTATTTACTAGGTCATACATTTTTGATGCACTTAGACATTACATGTGACATTCACTTTTTATGCAATGCTAAAATATTTCTAATTAAACTGATAGTCATGGTAATTAGAGGGTATTTTATTTCATGTATATTTTAAGTGTTAAAAGTAGCTTGGGAAGCTACTCTAACAAAGCATTATCATTTCAGACAAGGATCTAATGTAAGGATCTAATAAATGTTATTATTTGGAATGTGTACCTTAAACTGAAGGAAAAGTGAAGATTTCTGTGGGGTATGGACTTAACACTCCACTGTGAAAACAGAGCTCATCTGTCAAAGCATGCTTTTTTTGTTTTTAAACAAATTAATAACATTAATCTCTTTCAATAAAGAAAAAAGCCAAAAAGACAAAAACGTTCTGGAAGGCAAAACAACAAAACCTATTCTAGTGAATCGGGGGCTACAAAGCATTACTGTGTGAGAAAATCAGGGTAGCTACAATTTCCAGTGAAAGACTGGGAATAGTATTCTATTAAGCAACGATGTAAAATTCATTCCAGTTAGAAGAAGTTGATTAGAAAACAATAATTTATGATGACAAGACAAAAAGGTGCAGATAGGGTGCTGGACTGAGAATCATTTTAGGATATGCTTTTTTATAATGATACGAAACAGTGACAGCAGTAGGAATACCACCCATTTCAAAAAGATGCAGTTTAAATTGAAAACAGAACAAAAGGAAAAGAAGTAACAGTAGATCTAAAGAATAATATCAAAGATAATTAAAGTGTTGCAGCATCTGTGCGTCCTGTAACTTAGAGAAAGAACAATGTCACTGCTTGTATTTCCTTGATGGCATGCATTCCTGGAGTGGAGAACATGGAAACATAGCTTTCTATGAGATAAAAATTGTTCATTTTAGGACTTTCTCTTGCATGCGTTTCAAAATTCTGTTTCATTCTTTGAACAAAGAATATTTAGGAACAGTGACAGCTAACGACACTAGTGTCCACAAAGTACCATTAAAATCAATTTATGATGTGAGCTGTCTGAGTTTAGATAAATGTTGACACAGAAAAAAAGGGACTGAGTAGTTAGAAAATGATGATCAAAGAATGCATCTAATGGCTCAGACATTATCACATAATATGCTGGTACCTCAAATGTATTATACAGGAAGCCCTTAAAACAGACCAACAAAAACTCCCCTCCCCTTTTATTAGGGTGGAATTCACCTTTAAAATGAAAGAATCTAAAAACAATTACGAAATGTTTTGCAGGATTAGCTTTGATTGGGATAAGATGCTTCTGTTGCTATATTTTTCTGAAGGTCAGAACGTTTTCCAATGGAAATATTAAAGAATTGGAGAAAATCTTAATTCCAATCAGAAGCTGCTCCCCTAGACTAATACAGCACACACCCTCAAAAAACAATCACTCAAAATTCCATGATATTATCTTGCATTACTTCTTAGGATTATATACAGTGTTTGATAGCTACTTGCATTTATAAGCATCTCTCTCCCTCTCCCCAGAAAGTTTCACAATAGAAGATAAAATTTGAGAGAAATTCTGCTCTAAGGATATCTAAAAATGGGAAAAAAAAGCAAGTACTTTCACCAAACGCATTCAGATGAATAAAACAGAAAGAGCGTATTAGTAACTACTACTAACTATAATAGGTCTAAATAAGCACATCAGTAGGTGATAATTTACTAGAAAAAGCTTTGAAACCTGTAACTAAAAATATTCAGAACTGATTTTTAAGATGGAAGGAGAATAGCAAAAGTCATGCTACTTCTATAAAACGGTGTGTTTAAAGAAAAAAAAAGAAGGAAATGAAAGTGTCAACCATTTTTGGTTAAAAATGCTTCCTTTTCCTAAGTCAGTCTGGTGCTCTAGCATAAAACTGCAGAAGCTTTCCAAACAAGCGTGAACAGTAATCAAGACTTTTATAACTTTCATACTTCAAGAGTTCTGAATGCTATTCATCATTAAGGAAATAAAGCATCCATCTGCAGCATCTCTCTATTATCTATGCAGGAAATATGCTCTATATAAGATTTCAAGACTATTTAAATATAGGGCTTTAATTAACTACATAGATTTTTATTCTCCCTTTTCTGGATGCAATACTAAAGCACATTCACGAAGCTGGGTAGATGATTTCAACTCTCAAATCCTCCTAATACAAGAATACTGTATGTCAGTCCAGAGACGAGTATCCTAGAACATATCAAACAAAACCAGAAACGTAATTTTAGAGAATGTCTTGTAAATACAGTTCCAAAGCTCTGGGCAAACATTTACATGGCTCTACACAATTTTTGATGCTGTTATGCTTCACCTTTTCTGAAGACTGATAGCGTTTGCACCCATTGTGCCAGAGTAGTTTTTACACAAAATTCCACCCTAAAATGATCTTACTGAAATGTACCTCCTAAATAAAGAGCCTTGCTGGTTGCACAGCTTTCTTTTTTAAATATATATTTTCTATTATGCACAGGAAGGATTGAAGTGATTCCACACAAAGTACGTTTTCAAATTCTTCCTGTTATAAGCATCCCCCAAAATGAAGATAGAGTACATTTTTCTCAAGGACAGAGTTATTAGTTCAATTGACTTCAAAAATAAACACAGAAAAATATTAGCTTGTTTTTATGGTGCTTTCTTGTACCAATTCTTTGTATAATCATCTAGGCTTGCAATAACTGCAACTATAAAAAAGCTTAAAAAGTCAAAAATCAGCCCAAGTCACTTTTTTTTTTTTTAATGGTTATACAAGGAGATAATCAAGGCTAATTTCTTAATCTAGTGCTTTTTTTTTGTATCAATTTTATGTTTTTTTCACTCCCAAAATACTGTCTAATAAAAACGCTGCTTGGTGTTCCAATTAGCTATGTTTGGACTGTATTTTACAAGAGTAACCATGCTACGGTTCATACCTTAAGGTTCACTGCTGTAGCTAGCAGAGTTTAGTTTGACTGTCACTAAGACAAAACTGCATTTCAGTTGTATCAAGGAAATCAACTACTGAGAGCAAGTAATGAAGAAAGGCGATTTCTTGTTTATGTACAACTTCTCTTAGGCTAGGTGCAGACAGGGTAAGGCAAAGCTAGCAAATCAGCCTTGCTCACTAAGTTTAGTTTTGTTCCACAGTAGCACCAGTGGTATTAGCTTAGTACATCTTGCTGAATGTTTTTCAGAGCAGACAAACATACAAGGAAGAAACAGATCATCCACTTTAACAGGCTCACCAGAAAAAAAGAACTTTATAACCTTTATCTCTAGAAGCGCATGCTAACTTTGGAATTCAATTCAATTCAACAGTGCAGAAAGATCACAGTATAGTGATGCACACCTCCTTGTGTCAATATACTTCCATCTTTTGTACAAAACTTGGTCAGAACTCAAAGTTTAATGCCTATTGACTCTGAGTCTTCCTACACTGGAGATTTCAGCATTTAACTTACAAGTCAGACAAATCATTCAACTCGATTGATCTTTCTAACCACTTAGGAAGTTTTGCCAGCTGACTCTTGCTTGCAGGGATACCCTTCATTAGTGAGGCTGATATCTCTAAGATTAATTTTTAGTCGTCTCCCTCATTTCAATTCCCTTTGGATTGCTCAGACCGTGCATCCGTTCTCAGAATGATTGTTTCTGCAGTACCTTTGCATAAACAACTGTAGACATATTGGCTGTGTAGGGTCCTGGCAACCAAGTCGTTAATTCAATTCCATTTCAGAGCTAGTGCTTTGCTTCTGAAGAATTACAGGACAACAGCAATAATTTTGTTGAGGTTAAGACTAAGTGGCCCTGTTGAAAGGGATACCATGCATGCCTGCTAGAAACCATGGCTACTTTCAACACTAATTGTAAGGTTTTAGAAACCTAGCTAGCTAGCTTTTTGAAAGAGAAGATGGCTTTCCTGCTGTATGAAATGCTGCCAACAAAAATGAATTCAAGCCAATGACGCATCAAAGTTAGAGAGAGATTATGTAGTAAGCTAACTTCTCAGCTGCTAACTTGTTTGAACTGTATTTTGTAAATAGCTTACTGAGATGAAGGCGAGTTGCTTGAAAGTGTCCCCGAACACCACTGTCTCAAAAAAATGAAACAGACAGCAGTCCTGTCCAAATCTGTGATACACTATTAAATAATGAAAGAATGAATTGTGTAGCAGTTGTCCATCTATTACAGGGAATAAGAATGCACTCTGTTTTTGAACATTTTGCCCAGTGCAATTTAAATGAAAAGATATTTTATAAAACAACTTTTCAGAAAAAAAGTGGTCCATATTTTTGCTGGCAGAAAATTTCACTCACTCTATCCAGTCACAGAAACACCTACATTACTTATTTTTGTTTAGCACAGCTTGCCATCTCCTCATTTTCAAATTAAAGTTATTCTCTCTCCACTCCACACCCGAATTAAAAAAACAAAAAACCAAAAAAACTTATCAACCAAAAAAGCATTTACCGAAACAGAAAAGAACAGCTTCTCAATCCTTAGCTTAGCTAACACATATTCACAATATTTTCACAGCCAGTTATTAACTGTATTTTTATATAGCTGCATTTAACTTTTAATTTCATTAAGTTCTTTTTGTGCTTGCAATAAACACGTTTCTTTGAGGTTTGTTCCTGTAGCTTATTTTTATATAAATAATCCTATCTAAATCTAAATGATCATTCCCTGAATAGAAGTTGTAGCAAAGGGTATCTGGAAATCATCACCACTGTTACTACTAATATTATTGTTAATAGCATATAGCAGTGTCTGCATAACATTAAAATAAAGCATACAATACATACTTAAAAAGCTTTTTGAAGAGAAATCCCGGTACTTTGAAACCCTCTTCAAATTCAGTATCACTTTCATCAGAAAGTTCCTCAGCCATGTGATGTTCTTTGTCCTTCAGACCTTCTTTTTGCCACCTCCTGGAGTGACACAAGGAGTCAACATTCAATTGTTGCAATTAAAAGATTCTACATGAAAACTAAACTGAATCTTACACCAAGCAGAAAACAACAAATAAATATATGCTGGGAAGATGGCATGCACTTAAATAGTAATACGCTAAGGAGAGTTATAATTACATGCTTAAAAGATCAACAAGCTGAAAAGCACATGCACTAATGACTATTTTGTTATAAGCTCTCACAGTTTTATAGCTAGTTACAATTTTCTACAGACAGAAATACTAATACAATGGAATCAAAGGTTAACATCATTAAAAGAAACTGGACATCTTAAATTCCTAAACCTGCATTAAAATCAGTAAGACTTGGAATTCCAAAGTAAAAACAATTTTCATGAATTTAACCAAATACTTAAATACTTTCCTTCCTCTAGAGAAATGTTACAGTAACGTATAACCTATATAGAGGGCTCACCCGGCAACATCACTGTCTTTGGGGTGATGTCCTCTAAAGCTGTTAAGCAGCCATTGTTAGGACAGTGCGCATTCCAAGCTTTTGAAATCACACAGTGATTTCAGGTATGCAGCCTAATTGCTGTATTTAGAATTGAGGCAGTCTGTAGAATTACCTTTTTTCTCCCTTTCAGAAAAAGTACCAGAGGACTGTCAACATCCAAGGAAATTATGGTCTCATTTTTGTTTTAGTGAAATAAAACCATCTACCTGCAATAGCAAACTATACACTTATTGCCAGCTGGAGGAACAATCCAAATAAGTACGAAACAAACAGCACTTCGTGAACAATTTGCGTTTTGCTGAAATGCTCCCATAGAAGTGCCATCCACCGTAGCCAAGCTGAATTTATATAATCTGACAAAATTCCTATGTAAACAACTGCTAAAAGTATAGAAAAAAAGGAAAATTCACCCTCATGCCACTGCTCTGGGTGCAGCACAAAGGCAGTAGGGGCAGTCTCTTTTTGCACAAAAGCAGCCATATTTAATCTAATAAAAGGCTGCCATACTTGTAAGGACTAAATGATTTGGGCACCTCCTTACAGACATTGTAGACATATTTATTTTCCTACCAAAATCCTTTTCTCTTCCCAATGAACAATCTCTCCTTCCCCAAACATGCCAGTAAACCAAGTAGGCACTGTTCTCCAAGCCACTGTACGCATTATTAGTTGAATACATATTCCTTACTCATAATTAAAGATGCTAACTTGAATGATGCTTGGAAGGAGGAGACCTAAGAGTCTACAGGCATCCAAAATACATGGAGAGTGAAATTTTGTGAAAATGCCATAAGTAGTAGTAGGATGAAAAGAAGAAGGAAAAAAATTAGGCTAAGAACTAAGATAAGCCTCCTAGCACTGAAATTTACTGTAGTGTTACCAAAAAAAACCCTCCCAGGTGAGATGCTGCAAAACTCAGTTGTCTAATCATTCAACTCTGCATTGAAGAAACAGCTAGAGAATACACTCTAAAACAATCCTGCAGTGACTGGATGGAGGAGGATTTAATAGGCTGCAACAGCGCGCGCGTGTGTGTGTGTATACATAAACACATATACATATATAATATGTGTATATATATATGTGTGTATGTGTGTGTGTGTGTGTGTGTGTGTGTATTTTTTTTTCCAGTATACCTTCAGTTCCTGAATGACAATCCTTACAGGTGAATGAATAAACCTGTCTTCCCCTTGGTAATACTCCACCTCTCCAGTTTACCCACTATGCAAACTGCTCCCTGTTGGCTGGACAGCCATAGTTGCAAAAAAACCTGCAGGATAATTGATTAACAGGGCTCTAAAAAAATCCATCTTGTGGGAAAAAGAACGATTTATGAGCTATTTTAAAAAAAAGTGAGGAAATTTACATATTTTTGAAGTTATTTATCCTTCGTTTCCTGTAAAGCTCTCCATTGCTCTCATACATTTGAGGATACGGTTTACCTAGACGCTGACTTGCAAAGTACATTGCGTTTCCAACCTTGCTACAACCAATCCAAATGACTTTAAGTTTATGGTCTAAGCGAGTGCCCTATGTTTTCAGGGCTACTAGTCAAATTTTATCTATGCCTGGCAAAAGCAGCAGCATCATAAAAAATGTCAATTTATGGCATAAACTTGACAGTACCACCTGCTACAGAAACACAATTTAAAAACAATTTTATTGTCTTATGTCCTAGCTTAATCAGCCAAAGTAGAGAGATATAAGTAACTGTTTAGACATTTCTCTACCAACTCTTTGCAAGCCACCTACCATTCCTGACTCTCCGTGCTTTCAACTGTGCAAATGCAGAAGATAATATAAGATTTTTATCTTTGCTGTAAGTGTTTAAGACTTCACCATGCCATCTAGCTAAACTGTGTTAAGAATGGATACCACTGGAGCAATGAAAGAAGTGTCTTCTCCACTAGTTAAAAATTCTCTCAGTTAAAACAGTTTAAAATAAAATGTGATTGAAGTTTTCTATCTTGAACACATTCGTGGGGGGAAGAGCAAGGGGAGTGAAGCCCTAGCATTTCCCCTTGTATTTTTAACTAAATAAGCAGTTCTGCAGGCAATTAAACCAATGAAATCTGTCTTCATAAGGACATATATCATGTGTTTGTATTCTATGGTAGGAAATAAGATGAAAACTCAAAAAGAGACTGCTCCTTCTGTTAAGTCATTCAGAATCACCTCCCTCAAGAATCTGCAAATTCTCAATACAACTTAAGCTAAAGCTGTGTTTTCCCCAGTGGCAGCATTAATAGGGTCTCTCTTCTTCTCCCGACCACTTACTTTGGCAAAACTTGTATGGAATTTCATTTAAAGGCTCCTGTGTCTCTGTTAAATTTGTTTAAAAATCTTGGGTTAGGAATAAGAAAAGGAAAGAAATACAACACTGGATTCACAAACAACAATCATGCACTCTTTGCTTTCTCAAACAAAGCTAATTATGGCAGTTTTCTAGATTAGCCTTTTTCTTATCTTTTGAGAAAATACTTAGAGTCTGCTTTTATGAATCCAGCCACAAATGAGGTATTTTGGCCCTGCTGTTTTTTAAACTGAAAATAAGCACTACCATCTCAAAATATGTAAGAGTTGCAGTAACTGTCAAACTTGGCTGCACTGCAAAATTAACAAGGAACACACAATACTGGATAGGTTTAGAGAGCCAGCTTCATTGGAAAAATATTTTGGCTCTTTTGCTTAAGTCTATGTCTTCAGAAGCAAAAATCATAATGCAAAGAAAAAACAGCATAAGCAGGAAAAAAACAGGTGAGACAGAGACAGCTTACAGTTTTCTGATTAAACTGATGGGTTGCTAATATTTGGATGTGAGCTCTCACGTTGCTCTTATTTCATTAAGTGAATTCATTCATTCCTCTAGTTAAAAAATAAAAAAGAACTTACTACAAATATATAAAAGGTCAAAGTTCTCCCCGCAGACACTTTTGCCTAGCTATACTAACACAGGAATGGAAACCTTGATCTCAGACTAGCAGTCTGTTAAGTGTTTGATTTAGGAAAATAACATTCATGCTCTGGAGGCTGACTTGTCCAAAAAGGCAGAGACAATACATTCCAAAGGGACATCATGAAAATGCATTTTTGTTCTATACTACAATCTTGTGTCATCAGGCACAGGCGGTCAGTTATTCTGAACTGCAGAAAAAGATCACTGATTCAAACAGACAAATGCTGACAGTGACTGCCTCAGACTTTATCATTACTGTAACTGAGACATGTCTGCATTTGGCAATTGTTTTATCTGATTGGCTTAAGACAAGACTGAAAACAAGAAAAAAAACCTAGTTATCACATTATAGTCAAACAATTCCAAATTACGAAGCTTCTGAAGTGACAGCTAGGTGCAGAATCCAAATTAAAACCAATTTAAATAAACATAGGTGACAAATAGGGCAGTAATTTGTGCAAGAGTCAGCCTGTAATTCTATATTCCAATATGAATCACCGCTAGCCAAGGGCGAAACTTCAGCCTCCCCTGGGAAGAAACAGATTGCCCTCTAGCGTACGCTAGAAAAAGTGATCCAGAAACAATGAAGAAGAAATTTTCCCTAGTGAGATTAACAAAAGCTGATAGTTGCCCTGTGTTTAGCTGTCAATCGTCTTTGGTAAGAATTTACTTACTTCACCTCAATTTAGCTGATATATCTCTTAAGATTATTAGATGCCTAGAAAATCAGTACATCTAGACTTTGAATTAAATTATGCTCTTAACTCTCCCAAAGAAATGTTCCCTTTACACACTGTATCTGTTATTTTACTGAAGTGAGTAACTACAAGAACCATAGAATTGAAGATTCTGGGGCTATATCTTTACCAAAACTGATTCCCCTCACCAAAAAAAAAAGAATCAGTTCAAATGAAGTAGCAGCAATTTGTTGTTAATGTCACAATAAAAAAACCTGCAAAGTGGGAGAAGTTAGGCTGTTTTTGAAAAGCTGTGAACTTAATGTAAAACACTGCATTAAGGTACAGGCTACAGCAAAACTTAATTATCTTTTTTAAAAAAGCGTAAATATTCCTAATGGCTGAAGTAATGGGAGGGCAAACACTATTTCCTAGAGCAGCTCAGAGTTGGCCAGTCTGGTCCTCTACCCTTCCACAGATGTCATACTTTGGAGGGAGGAATAGCAGAAGCACATATTTCACTTAACTACAGAGCAACACATTGACCTTGTAAGAAAATTCCTTACTAATCTCAGTTAAACCTTATTAGCATGCCAAAACAAACAAGAAACACAGGTTTTACTGTAACAAAGTTTCTTGAAAATACAAGCATGACCTTGGAGAAATTTACTTTTAAATAGCCCATGGTCACTTACATGGGTCTGATTTTATCCTGCAAGCGCAGTATGAAAGCCATATATCACACAATTAAATCTTTCTTAATGTAGGTTTGTGTTCAGATACTAAGCTCATTTCCCACTTAGTGCAATACCCAAGAAAGAAATTCTACATCCAAAACATAGTAATGAGCACAATTTGATTTAAAAAAA